TAATATTAAAATTTTAATTACTTATTACAGTAATGAAATTTTAACGAAAATAAAAGTATTGTTATTACACATGTGAAAAATAGCTATATAACATAAGTTAATAATACAAAATACGTATTTTGTATTATTTTGTATTTTACTAAGACTATGTGTAAAAACAAAAATTTTTAAAAATAAATATACATATATATAAATATATATATATATGTATATTTATGTATATATAGGTAATCATATATCTATTAATTATTTTAACCAACGGCTATTATTATTTTATATTGGAGTCAATTATTTAATGTCTGATTTGCTTTTTTTTTTTTTTTGATTATACAAAAGAACGTTAATCTATATACATCAAACTGATAAATAATTGTAGGAACTATTTAATAGAATCAAAACTATAAGGAATGACATTCTTTTTCTTTTCTTTTTTTTTTTTTTTTTGTAAATATCATATATATTTTTAATTAATTCATAGTAAATGTTATTAAATATAAACAATAGTAATTTTAAATCTTAAATACATGTTATATATACACAGTGTTTCGTAATATATGAATTCTCCACACTTTGTGAGAGTGAACAGAGTTGACACAAAAACAATGAAAAAAATAATAGTTTATATAAATATGTGTATTACGAAGCACCCTGTATATAGTAATCGATTAGTATAATCACATTTTTTGTGATAATTTGTGCCTAATTGCTTGATAAGAATATTTCTATAAAACAAATTAAGAAGTAGCACCTAAGCGGCATTAAAAAATAATAATACGTTTATGTTATTTGTAAAAATTAAATATATACCATAAACATTTATTACAATAACAATTAATTTAAAAAAAAAAAAAAAAAAAAAAAAGAACTAGAGGTAATTATCGCTAAATATATTGATCGCTTTAATTCACCGTTGTAATCAATCAAAAATTTTATACAGATATGTTTGAAATACGTATATAAAATTATATCTCATTTGTTTACAGTTCACACAATAATATTATATAAAATATATATATATATATATATATTAATAAGAGAATTTATATAACATGAATTTTGTAAAACCGTTGAATTTGTAAACTTAAAAAAAAAAAAAGAAAAAAATCCCTCTGGGAGTTATCCACGTTAAAACATTAGCCATAAATTCTATTAAGCTTCTTCTATATACATTTGTTTAAATGTAAAATTGTGTGGCCTTCTCTACTTATAATCAAAATATATTTTTGTAATTTGTTTTTCTTTTATTTTTTTTTTTTTTTAACCTTTGTAAAATATACAAGTGCAAGTTAATGTGCATGCAATATTGTAATTATTAATATTGTTTAAGAAAAATAATAATATTGAGTATAAGTATATATTATTATATAGGTAAAATAAAAAAAAACAAGAAACACTAATTTAGCATATAAACTTTTTATACATATACGCGTTTTAACGAATTTTGTGCTGAAATTATTAAGTAAATAAAATTGATTTCCAATTTGTGTTAATTTTATTGATTATAGCAAGAAATTAGTTCAGTCAAAATATAAAAAAGTATTACATACAATAATATACTATTACGCACCCAATATTATATAATGAAAAATAATATTTTCTAAAATATTGAAAATGTTCATAATATAATGCCCACATTTTATAGTAAATAATTATGAAAATATATATTTATATATATATATATATATAAATGTTCAGATCAGTTAAAATCTACTATACGATGGAAAAAAAAAATGTACGTATAAATTAATATTTTATATGAATTAATTATATGACAATATTTATACAGAATTTGATATATATATTTAAAGTTATTTTTAAAATCAAGCGTATATTTAAAATATTATATAATAAAAAATGTCATATAATTTTTGTGTATATTTCAATATTTCCACAGAAAGCATATCATCATATCATAATTAATTCAAATTTAAATGATGATAATTTGCATTAAAAATTAACATTAAAAAAAAAAAAATATATATATATTGTTAATTAAACGAATATCAAGAATACATGTAATGTAATTATTATTTGCCATATTTTTTATTGTTAAAAGATGATATAATATTTTTTTTCTTTTTTTTTTTTATACAAAGTCATATATCAAGTAATCTATTCGATACGTTGATAGAGGTATATGTATCCCAACTCCTTAGGTGGATTTTCAGATAAAGCAACCTGTAAAAAATAATCAGATATGAAATATATTATCACATAACAAAATGTAAACAAAAAGATAATAATATATCTATCATCTCCTATGATTTATTATAGTACTTACTCTATCATCATTATATATCACCCATCGATTATTTTTCAACAAATGACAAACGTAATGTCCTACCATCGATGACGTTCCCATATGTGATATAAATCCTACTAATTTGTATTCTGTAAATAGAAAATATATATATATATATATAATGAATAATTATAATTAAAACTATAATCATTTGATGATACAATACTTGTAATAATATTTTTGAAATAACAAATAATAAAATACGCACGAGTACTTCCATCTCGAAATATATCATCTGAATATCCAGCATCGCTTTCACCATCATCCAATTCAACTTGATGACTAAATATCCAATCGGCTGCGCGTTCTAAATTATTATTAGTCGCTTTGAGAGCTTTTATTGCTTGTTCTTTAGTAAAACCCATACTCATTACTGTTGCCAATGCATTGTCATTTGGTACAAATTTATCAGTTCCTACAATTTCAAATGAAATATATTACATTTTATATTTGTATTTTTATTTTTTTTTGTCAAAGTAAACTTCACATTATTTTGACTTTTTCAAAATTGTTCATATAGAAATATTTATAAAGTGTTATATTTGACCTGTTTTAACATCAATTCCAGGAGGCACGAACGGATCCGCAATATCAGAATCACCAATATGTTCCATAACCCAATTAGTAGCTGCTTCTAAACCACGATTGTCGGTGAAGTACAAAGCTCGTTTACAAGCTTCTTGAGGAAAACCCATATCTGTTAGATCACTTAAAATTTTACGATCGTAGACTGGAGATGGTGGATCAGAACCAGATATATCCGGTAACAAAGTTTCTCCAGGTTGTAAACCTAATCCACGTAAAGAGCTCAAATCTATTACGTCTGGCATTTCTATAGCTACATCTAATTTAACGGGGCTCCAATTTTCCTTCATAGTAAACTTTTTCAAATGCAACAATAGAAAATCAGGAAATGTGGCCAATCTCGTTGTTCTGTCAAATTTCAAAGAAAAAATGATTAATAATAATAATAATAATAATAATAATAAAAAATAAGAAATTATTAATCAAATATTATCGAATGCTTACTTCTGCGCGGTTGTTTTTTCGTTCAATGCAGTACTGTAAAATTGTTCAACTATCTCCGGTTGTATAAAAGTTTCCAGGCATGACATTAGCTTAATACGTGGCCTCACGAATGCATTTGGGTTTACTTTTTGTCCATTAGCTTCTGTTTCTTTCTTCAGTGCTTCATATGCCGCAACTTCTTCCTGACATTATACTACATTTCATTACTACTATTCACTGACCATTAGATCCAACTTCAGTTGCAATTTATTTGTAGTGAGGATATTATCTGGATACTTAATTGAAAAATATAGTAATGATATGTAAATAATTACTTTTTATAAATATAATTCGTCATACCTTGTTAATTGCCGCTTCTAATGGTATAGGTAATGGTAAGATGTATTCAGGACGATAAGTATATTTCACTTTACCAGAACTTGTGCATTGATAACGTTCTTCGACCTTGAATTTAAAGCATTGCGTAGGATTTACCTGATGTCTGCTGTTACGCTGTCAAATTAAATTACATTTCATTAATAAGATGATACACATAATCTTGATACATAAAAACAAAAACAAAAACAACAAGAAAACACATTGAAATAGATTACGAAATTATTTACAAAAATACATTTATACTAATATAAATAATAAGGCATAAACAGTTCCCACAAGTTGAAAATCTGAATTTTTTTTATGAAACTTTGTAAAAACACGTTAAATATTTCATGAAAATAATCATTTTCAAATTGGATATGCCTTTGCCTGTTAAAATACAAATGAAAAAGAAGTTTCGTTAAACCGGTGGTCGATGCATTTTGATGATTTACATTTACTTTGTAAACACATTGTTTTTTTAATCTTATTTATAATGTTATGAATAATTACATCTAAAATGTTAATGAGCTGTAGGAAGAATTCCTGAGCGTCTTGTTGCCGATTTGAGGAAAAACCTGGATGTCCACGACCAATCAAGTTTTTGAACATTCTTGGAGGAATACCTTGTCGCGAGTCATCATCTGTGTTTGATAGTGGTGATACGGAATATCTTCCCGAAAGTAATCCAACTCCGAGTTTAGACCTACAATAAATATTTTCATTATATAAATATCTCAGATATAAAATTATTTGTTTTGTTAGATACAAATCTTACATTTGAACATTAAAATCATTGGCTGGATCGGTGTAATTTTGTTTATATATGTACGGTGCACCATCTACAAATCTATACAAAATATTTTTCATTATTATTATTATATATATAAAGTAAATATATAGTATTATATATAAATAATAAATATATATATATATATAAAATATAGTATTTAATTATAATATATATATATAGAGCAATTTATTACATATATAATGTATACCTTTTTATAAAGTCAGGAATAGCAAATAACATTTGCATAACACTATTTAGATAACAAGAGTTTCCAAGATTAGCAAGACCAGTGTAACCAGCCCCATACAATGGGGTTAATTTGCTAGCAGCCTCTTGAAGAGCAACCCATTCTCCGAATTTTTGATTAAGGTCTAATTCTAACTCGACCATAGATTTATCAGTTTTTTCCATCTGAGTGATGTTAATTCCCCAATGGGCCAAGTGTTCTATTAAATTAGGATCTTCTACCATATCATTTTCATCGTACGAAAAAACATCTGCCTTTCCTTCCTTTGTTATGGTACCCAATTTAACAGCGAGTGGATAATTCGTGTTACGATAATGTTCAACTGCATGATCATTTCCACCAGTGCCATCGTAAAATTTACGTCCACAAAGAATTGAACCATCAGTTAGATTGAGCCAAAGATTCTGTCTGAGATCACATTTCTCACACTTCCAACCACTTGGAGGAATTTTTATACCATTATCCAATTGCTTCAAAGTCTTGGCATGTCTAAAAACATGAAACAAATATTAATAATATTGAAACAAAATATTAATCATTTTGAATTAGATACAAGAGTAACTTACTTAGTAACAGCTTTTATTTCACCATCCCAAGTTCCAGATAAAGTTTCAGTTTCTGCAACTTTCAATGCTGAATCTGAATCCAGTATCAATTTTACAGATAATTCCACCTGTTATTAGAAAAATGTCAAAATAATAATAATGATATATATATATCGAACTTATTTAATTGATAGTAATATATTTAATTATATACATACTTGTGCTGGCAGACCCTCCCTAGGATAAGAAATTTCCGTAAACTGTGGCAATATAACTATTTTATATTCCTCGTGATAAGTATATTTTTGTTGATCTGGTGTAAATCCACCAGAAGTTCCTATGGCTAATCTCGTTATCTTTTTATCAGGACCATCTCCTTTTTGATCAGGTACAATCTACAAAACACACATTGTCAATTTTTTTTTGTTTTTTTTTTCTTTCTTTAAATCAAACACAATACACGCATGAGATTGTAATTAATGAAGAAGAAAATAAAAAATGATTTTTTAACGTACCTCCTTCTTTGTACGTTTTATATGAAGAAAGACAGGATTATGGGTTAACCGATAGTAATGAAGAACATGGTCTTGTCCCAACCCCAAAAATGTTGCTAGGCTAACATATAAACCTGTAGGTGAATCCTGTTAACAAAGAAGGTAAAATAAAAAGAAAGAAAAAAAAAAAGAAAGGGAAGAAAGAGAATTATTAATATGTATAAATATTATTGTGTGATGTATAAAGAAAAAATAGAAAATAATAATAATATCTTACTGGCGTGTCGAACGAATAAACACATTCATCCTTATATATTTTATCGGTCTGTTTTGGAATTTTGATTTTACCTAAATGCTGCATCAATTCTTCCATGATAGATTAATTCTATCGCACTAATTTGAAAGATTACTTTTAAGAATTTATAACTCAAAAATTAATCTCCTAAACGTAACCTGCCTCTGGGCATCAACTCACATAAAGCGCCGGCTTACACATTCACGTTATATCCAACATATATATATATCTATATGTATGTGTATACGTATATATGTTTTATTATATATAGATGACATGCATGAATTGCGAAAAGAGACAACTAAATAGAAATTTTGCTAAATTGATTTTAATTTTGTTTTGTATATTATATTTCTTGTTTTTTTTGTCTTCTTATATTATATTTCTTTTTTTTTTATTTATTTATACAATATGATTTATATAGAAAAATGTTAAAAATACAATATGTATATTTGGAGGTTATAATCAAAATTATTTTGTTCGGAACTCCATAGTTTGGGAGTAACCCGAAAAGTACGTGTCAATTTTCAAATAATATTCTATTTTTTTATTTCAAATACAAATCGAATATTTATTTATAAATCTAATAAAAAAATAGATAAATATTATAAAGGTAATAAAAAATAAATGAACAAAAGTATTATTTATCATTGGCATACATATTTATCTATTAATTTTGGTAAATATCATATAAATTCATTCACATATTACTTCAGGAAATAAATGTGTAATATACACAATACACAATACACAATATACAATATAACGAAAAAAATATTATTATAAATAATGTAATTACTATTGGATGAACTGAAATTTTTTTTTTTGTTTTTTGTTTTTGTTTTCAATACAAATGAGAAATTATTTAATAATATTTTACAAAACGATCAATTAAAGAAATAAGGAAAGAAGTACATATGCAATGTATAAATATATCTTCAATAACAAACTTAAATAAAGATCGTTATGAATATACAGCATAATAGATTTTCGATAAATAAATGTAATATGAAAATTTATTAAAGCATTTCGATTCCTAGAAAATCTTTTAGTTTTGTTAATAAGACATCGTTGTGTGTTTTATAATCCATCGCTGATATGGATAAACAATTTGCCTTTATTCTTGATTCATCCTAGAAAATAAAATCATACGTATGTGTGTTAAATGATTTCAATTGTAATTTTGTATAAAACAAGAATTTATATGTATATACAGTGTCCTATAAATGGTGGTATACTAAGCAAGCAAGAGATAACACTGTATAGTAGATACATTTTTAATCTTATTTTTTCTCAAGAAAACAGTATCTTATTATGAACATATTTTATTCTACACTTTCGACTTATAGTTTTTCATCCAGAATCATCCACGTCTTGTTTGTACCACCAATTATAATATAAGACACCTTGTATATAGTATATTTTAAATAATGTTTACTAACGTTGAAGCATTCTACTTTCATACGTAATTTGACAAGGAAATATTTGAATGTGACATCAGTCAATTTTTCCAAAAATTGTTCTTGATTGTTTTCCTGTAATTCACCCAATTCTTGAGATGTCATATTTAAAACTTTTTCAGCTTCTTCATTGAAGGCAGTTACCCATTGATTATTTATCCAATCGCTAAAATTAATCTACAATACATATGATAATAAATGTTAGATATTTAATTTGAATAAATATAAATAAACTTTATTTATTTATCTATTTTGATAAAATAGGAACTATATATATATATATACATACATTTGCCAAAATCCGGTATTTGAAGCTTGGATATTCTTTGTTACATTTTTCACATCTGTACATTCCATTAGCTTGGTCTATCATCTTAAAATAAAGAAATGTATAATTAAACAATATATTTTAAATCCTTTCATCAAACGTATATATTCGACCAAAATCTATATGGAAGACATATAGATTCGTTGAACACATATATACGTTAATAACAATTAAAGAATTAAAATAATATGATTGAAGATTTAAAGAATATAAATAATTACATACTTTCTTTTTACAACCTTCAACTGGACACGATTTATAAGCAACGTTTTCGGATTTAACCAAAGTAATAATAAGTTTATCAAGGAATACAAGTGTTTTATTTGAATTTCTATTTATCAAATTATGCGCTTCCAGTAAACTTAACCATTCTCCATTCATACCACCTGAATTAAATGCAGATAAACTTTTAGCTTGATCAGACATTCCTATAGTATTATACCATCCACGTAATCTATACGAAAGAGAAAATATTAATATTTTCTTGATCAAATATTATAAAATATTAACCCTTATCGAACGAAACCTTGTTACACCCTATATTTGTCGTTTTGTTCATTAATATATCATTTGTTATCTATTAAATTCAATAATATCTTGTTGTAAATGATATACGTCCGATAAGAGTTGTATAAAAGTTTTGTTTTTATCAATAACTATACTTGTGAGCTTCTGGTATATCAGGATCTATTTGAAGAACAGAAGACATTAAAGTAGACAGATTTTTGCCACCATTAAATTCACCAATACGTGCTCCTTTAATAGCGATAACAGGATTATTACTTCCATTAAAGTTTTCAGCATCTGAGCCCCATAAACTCAAACATATCTACATTATATTAACAATGTTTTTACTATAATTTTATATATTATATATATTTATATAATATCCTTTCTTTTAATAATAATTCTTTTACCATGGTATTACTATCATCGATTAAAGTAACATCTCTTTTTTTAAGTTCTCTACCCGTGGTTCGTGCTCTCAGCATTTGTACTTCTTCGCAAGATTTCACAATTCCCAAAATATCTGTAAAGATAGAAACAGATATATGCATTTAATATTAAACAAATTGATATTAATTATGTAAGAATAGAAATATATTATTTATAATTATTAAGTCTTACCTACGATATCATTTCTTTCTTTATTTTCTATAAGATTTATTGGTATAAAATCAAATTGAATCGTTGGAATACTATCAACTTCATCGTGACATGGAATTACTTCAGTTTCTGAAGTCATACTCATTTCATAATCATTCTTCAAAGTGCTGTATTGTTTATTCGCTGTTTTTAAATTACATCGTGAGATGTAATAAATTTTTCCAACCTAGTTACAAAAAAAAAAGCAAAGATAAAATTATAGCTTCAAGTAAGAAAAAAAAAAAAAAGAAAAAAGAAAACTCTTTGAGAAAAGATATATATTAATTATACATACATTTATCATGTCAAAAAATTTATCACATTGATCTCTGAATGCTGTACATCTTATTTCACCGCTCTCATCGACCAAATCACAAGAAAATAATTTTCCTTCACCTCGTGAATTGGACCACGTTATGATATTAGATTTGCTAGTAACTCTTGCTTTGATAACCCACCTATAATATAAGATTAATTAAAACTTAAATAATATATTATAATATATTTGAAATATATATACAAGATATTAATATTGATACAACTTACTTATTTTGATATGGACTTAATGCAACAATAGGAGTTGTTGTTATTTCAGATGAATGATCATAAGAACTACTTTTTGGAACTGTTATTAAATGAAATAATCATAATGTAACAAAATGAATAAAATGTAATTTGGAATAAATTACTATTAAAAAAACTTACCGCTGGATGTTACCATAGGTTTTTTTACAGTGCTTGTTTGTGGTTTCGTTGGTTCTGCATCTCCATTAGCATTGTTATCAATATTTACGGGATTTCCTATTTTAGAACCAACTTGTTCGCCAGGAACTTTTACATCAATGCTCAATATCACCATCACACGTCTATTTAAATATACATAAATAAATAAATAAATAATAATTACATTTTTTTTAATAATAATAATAATAACATCAAAATAAGTCAAGATTAATACTTACTTTTGTTTTCCACTATTATTAACCACACTTACAGCATATCTATTAACCTGGCATATAGAAAAATCAGTCAACTCTGTTATCTTTGAATTTAATTGTGTAGCTAACATAGTAAAAGAGTTAACTCTTTTGCCATCAGAAACTAATAATCTGTAACGTTCTCCAGTGTTTTGACCAACTAACTTTTTATGACCCTAAATTTAAAACATAATATAATATTACTTTGGTATACAGCATACGTAAACAATAACTATTTACAATATTTATTAGAACATATATATAGATGTTCTAAAAAAAAAAATAACCTAAAAGAATTATTAATTGATAGATTTATAATAAAGAAGTGGTAATCATTTTCTTACCAGTATTTGAATAATTGGATTGTCAATATCCTCCCCTGCCATGATTTTCTTTAAAGAAACATCAAACGCATTATCAAACATTGTTGACATGCATAAAATATTTAAATATGTTTAAACATGATACCAAAATATTTATTATACTTACATCTAATGCTCCTTCTGTTAAAGGAATCATGTTTATTCTTTGGATATATATATATATATTGGAATGTATAAAAAAAGATCAAATTACAAAATAATCCTTTGTTTCACCAAAGTACGACTATACAAATTTTTGAAATGTTGTTATATTGTGCAATATTCAATTATACCAGTAAGATAATCTATTTACAAAAAAAAATTGAATTATAACAATACTGATAAATATGACTAATAAAAATTAATATCAATTATCAGTACATACTTATTCGAAATTTCAATACAAAGCATACATTTAGCTCAACAAATTACGTTGTTGTATTATACCAATATATGTCCATAGCCGATATTATTTCCCGCCTAAACGCGTTTAGTTACTAATACAAAGAATTTAAATTTTTTCAACAAAATACCTAGGATATATACTAGAATTATTTGTACGTTAAATGCAATTGTTTTTTTACATTTTTCTACTATAATTATTTATATTACAATGAAGTAATATTTATATTAGATTATTTCTCAAAAAAAGAAACAAGAAAAAATATTAAATATAAAAAATTAGCTAACTACTTTAGTAAAATGTTTAGTTAATTATTATACATTTTCATATTTGTTGGTTGGTATAACTACTAACCTAATACATCAATTGACCTAACTTTACCAGAGAAAAAGTGCACTATTAATACTCAATATACTTCAATCAAAAATGGGGTATCGGTAGACCCCCGTGACAATTGAAATACGGTAGAAATTACAAGAAGAGGATTATTTTTATTTTATTATTTTTAAAAGAAATAACATATTTACACTACAATTTAATATATTATATAAAATTACGCGACTCACTTTCACTTTAACGAAAAACCTGGGAAACTACTAGGAAGGGGCCCTTACGCTATCTACTGTTGCACATAGATACGTCTATGGAAACAATCGCCGTCAAGCTGTGACGTCCGCATGCGCATGCGCACGAAGGCTCCCACGTGGGAGAATATTGCACGTCCTGTCATGACAGAGCGCAGGCATTTATTTTATTATAAGATAAAAACGCGAAGTGCATATCGTTTGAATTTAAGTGAGACCGGCATCTTTTTTTATTTACGTTCATAAATAAAAATAGTTATCATTAACCATGTCTCGTTCAAATTTTCGCATTAAAGTCGATTTATCGAGATATTATCAAGATATTCGACAAATTTGTTGGATGTTTATTGATGGAACGAAAATTTTATTAATTTCTGATTTGAAGAAACATATAAATAAATTATTTAACATTAGTGAACCTTATCATTTGTGTTTAAATAATACTGAATATTTACCACCTTCTGAAGATGCTAGAATACTAAAAGAAAATGAAACAATTGTGTAAGTTTATAGTTGTTTTTATTAATTAACCTACATTATTCACACACACACACACACAGAAAATAAAATAATTATTATATCTGGTTACAGTGTTGTACCAGGTAGTGGTTTGGACAATGAAGTAGAATCAGTTATGAATGATGTATCAGCTTATGTACAAAATAAAAACATTAGCAGTAAGAAAGAAAATATAACATGCAATCATAAAGAAACGAAATCAGTAGAATGTGTTAAGGATGTAACACCAGTTCCTACGAAAGGAAACGAGCTTCTTCGAACTGATGATGAACTTTCTGATTTTAAAAATGGTTTAAATTTATACATATATATATATGTATTTATACTATTTTTATAAATTAATTTTATAATATATAATTCAAATTACAGATGTATCATCTTTGGATGTGACATTTCATAGCATAATAAATGATACAGAGGATAACTATAGTACAGATTCTAAAACAATGAACAGTACTATTACAGATGATTATTGTTACGCGCAGAAAGAAGAAACTTCTAAAAATAAACGTAAAAGAGTGCGACATAAAAAAGGAAAGAAAAACAAAGACATATCGAGTGTAACAAAAGATTCCAATGATGATGATGTAAAAACAAAAAAAGCTAAGGTAGTCGATTCTCTTGTTTTGTCATCGGGAAAGCATATAAGATTTGATACTCCAATAAGTGAAAGACCACAAAATGATGACTACTGTGAAAATTCGTTAGTGAAACTCTATGATTTGGCAGACTTTTTGACTCCTCCTACATTTCATAATAAAAAAATCAAAGAAGAAATGAATGTACCAAAAAATACGCCTGATATTGAAAAAGATAATATTAATGATTCTAAAAACATAAATGAAAAGGAAAACGAAACGTTGAATAATAGTCATGACAAAAATATATCCAAGAAAGAAAGTAAATCCTCTATTAAAAATCAAACATTTTCTGATATTGAACCTGATCAATGTGTTCGTATTCCTGTAAAAATGCACCAAATAGAAAGTTTTGATATTATTGAATTCAAAGTAAATATTCAATTGTAATGTTATTGCTTTAATTTATTAAATATTTTCATTCTAGATATATGTTAAATTATATTTTACAGATGTTAACGATTGGATCAGATTATACACCAGAAGTATCACAAATAATCGTAGCACAGGTGATTTCAATCGACAGAACATCTAGTTTATTTACTTTGAAAATAATTAGTAAGTATTTATTATAATTGTAATTATTTATTTCAGGAATTTTCAAATCGTTTTAAAATTAATCATCACAATTAATCTTTTATTAATTGCAATTTTCAGAAGGATTAGATCAAATTTATGATGATAATGTACCTGCGGGAAAGTTTAGTATTTCCGAAGAGGAAACTAATAAGAAATCATCGATTTTTTTCAATCTAAGCTATTCTAAAATGATTGATCCGTGCGTTCTAAAAAAGTTATCTTAACACGATATAGCTTATTAAGAAATTTATATTAATTATATTTTATATTTTGACACTTTACGTTCCTGAATTACAAAAAAAAAAAAATAAGTATAATATCTTTTTTATATTAGCTCTGTAAAAAGCAGTTCCATGTGTGTTAAGAATTATTTTATTAGTGACTATCGAACAAGAATGTTTCAATTAATTATTTTTATTTTAAATGTTAATTTTTTTTTTTTTAATAATTTCAATAATAAATTGTTATACCAAACTGCTTTTTATAATATAACTTTTGTTGAACTCAATATAGTTTAATTGAAATACAATGTGACTGATTTGTACATATTTTTTTACAATCAAAATTATATCTAGTCAAAGACAAGAAAAAAAGTGAGAAGGCAGATATTAAAAATAGTTAAATAAAAAAAAAAGATAAAGTTTATAGTAAATTCCTTGCAGAGCGGATAAGTAACTAAAATAGGGAATTGGATTGCAACAGTTGTTCCACCTGTTTCTAGTGACGAATCTCATAATGGCGTATAGTTGATGGCGCTACAAGTATTATTTGAAGTTGTCCAAATAAATGGCATAATAGCAGATAACTGTGAACATTTCTAATAATTATATATTCCGTGGGTCAATAGAAGGGTATATACGGAATCATACACATGCATACATACGGAAGTAAGCAAGGAAAGGGAAAAGTTAGTTGGCAGATAGTGAAATATCATCAAATAAATTAACATACACGAGAGGAGAGAATATTCGCACTTTCAGATTCGCGCATTTAAACAATGGGAATTATAAAATATGACAATGAGTCATACGACAATTAACGATTTCTCACGAAAATTCAATTCGTGTTGTTATTTAAACCTCAAGGAAAAGTCAACCGGCACGAGGAAAACTTCAAGGCGTTGGCACTGCTGCTGCGTTCCCTGACAAATTGTAATACCAATTTTAAATTATACGAATTAGAAATATATATATACATATGTATATGTATACATATATATGTATATAAATATATAAAAATAAAGAAAGAAAGAAAAATAGAGTGAGAGAGAGAGAGAAGGAGAGTAAAAGAGAAAGAGAGAGAGAGATAGAGAAAGAGGGATAAAGAGAGAGATAGATATAGAGATATTGACAACGATTACGTTATTTTTAAATATTATTATAACAGTGTGTTTATCTGTTGTGAGAAATAAATAGAAATAGAAAGAAAGAGAGAAAGAAAGAAAGAAAGAAAGATTTATAGTTTGACAAGGGTACATTTTTGGTAGTGTATGGGGTGCACGTTAGCATCGAAATGAATCAATGGGATAGAACAATGTGTATAATACATTCGATACGTTTCGTCAGCTGATCAGAGTGTTTTTAACGAGATGTGAACAACTAGGAAATATTAGATTCAATTTTGCTCTGCATTCTGTTATAAATCATCACACGTATTCGCCTGAACATTTTTTCTAAGTCTAAAGAATAGAAAGAGGACAACACTAAACTGTAGAGGATCTTTTGTAGAAAATAAAGAAAGAAACAAAAAAAAAATAATAAGGAAGGAAGAAAAGAAGGAAGGAAGGAAGGAAGGAAGGAAAGGATTAATCAAAGACTAAAAGAAAGACTTGAAAGAAATGGGGAACAAAAACAGTTGCTGTGTTTATTCCAGTCCTCAAGTTGGACGTAAGGAATTAACAGTCGAAGGTGTCACAAGAGGCCTTGAAGAACATCTTCCAGAAGGAGGTATCAGTGTTAATAATTTACAGCACATTAGCGAACGAGAACCTGAAGACTGGGATTCTGATCCATCGTTGCATCCTTGTGCTGGAACTATTTTCATGGAACGTTCTAAACAAGCTATCGAAAGTAAGCTTTAATCTGTTCATATTGTTTTTGTTAAAGTTATCTGATTATCGTGTTATGATTTTGTAAACACACACACAAATTTGATTTTATTTAATAGTATTAATAATAATTATTATTTTGTTACTTTCTTATAGATGGTATGGTAAGGAAAAAGAGTCAACATCAAATAGCAGATACAAGGCCTCTGAAAAAAAGTAGCAGTTGTAGTACCATATACTTGGACGATAGTACCGTTTCTCAACCTAATTTAAAAAATACAGTGAAATGTGTTGCCTTAGCTGTTTATTATCATATTAAAAATAGAACTTCACACAGACAAATTGATATATTTGACGAAAAGTTACATCCTTTAACGGTGAATTTTTAAAAAATATTTTTTCTTCTTTTTTTGTTTTTTGTTTTTTTTTTTTTTTTTTTAACTGTCACTCATATAACAAAAAAATTGTTTACAATTGATTTTGTTTATTATTTATAGAGGGACGGTGTTGCGGATGATTATGATAAACATAATCCTGAGCATAAACAGATTTATAAATTTGTAAGGACTCTATTTAATGCTGCTCAATTGACAGCTGAATGTGCCATCATAACCTTAGTCTACCTTGAACGACTACTTACTTATGCAGAAATAGATATAACACCAGCTAACTGGAAACGTATTGTACTTGGAGCTATTTTATTAGCTTCTAAAGTATGGGACGATCAGGCTGTGTGGAATGTAGATTATTGTCAAATTTTAAAAGATATTACTGTTGAAGATATGTAAGTATTTTTGTAACTATATTTTATATATTTCAATAATTCTTTTTCCAATTTTTCTTTCAGCAATATTTAAGGTATTTCAAAGTATTACATGTTTCATCATTTTTAGTTATTATTTAAAATATTTATATTGTGAATACAATATTTATATATATATATATCTAATTTTTTTAAATTAAATACGCGTCTATGTTAAAATATAATGATAAAAATTTGATTATTTCTTTTCTTTTTTTTTTTTATAGGAACGAATTGGAAAGACAATTTTTGGAAATGTTACAGTTTAACATAAACGTTCCTTCAAGTGTGTATGCCAAATATTATTTTGATTTACGCACACTTGCAGAAGCAAATGAATTAACATTCCCCAGCGAGCCACTTAGTAAGGAAAAAGCGCAAAAATTAGAAGCTATGTCCAGAGTCTACGAAGATAAGGTAACAGCTGAAGCCCTACGTACTGGTATTAAAAAGTGGTATAGTTTAGATAATGTATGCATAGGTGGACCTAGACGTAGTATTGCTATTTTGTCCTAAATAAAATATTTCAATATACAAGAACACATGCAAATACATTGACATTCTAAATTTAGAAGAAAATTCAGGAAGATTTTGTGTAAGTTTTTATAGTAATTATTAGTCTTTATAAAGTTCATATATATATAAATATAAAAGTAACAAAAACTTTGTAACAAATCTATTATCCTGTAATTTGCATACAGGACTCCTTTTAATATTACCAARAAWAAAAAAAAAAAAAAAAAAARAAAAAAGGAGGTTCCATTGGTAGTGGATAGTTTTTTTTATTGAAATATTTTATCTGTCTTCTTCAATTCTCGTCGTTAAACAACTATAATATATCATGATCTTTGATCGGTAATTAATTTTATTTATTATAACATTTCAAATCATA